ACTAGCTACAACCCTCTAATAGCTCTGACTCACAGTACATGGAGTCTAAAGGCTTGTTCACACCAACTGCAGACCAGATCTGCATGAGTTTCTGCACACGCAGTGCAGTGGGTTTTGCTGCGTTCCGGACCGTTTTTGGTAAAAAAAGAAATAATTTTCTTTAGTTTAAAATGGGCTTTCAGTGCGTTCCAGGGCATTTGCATGCGTTCCAGAGCAGGGAAAATAGGGCTTGCTGCAGTTTTTTTTACATGCTCTGGAACTGAACGCTGCAGTGTGAACTAGAGCCCAAAATACAATTGGAATACATTGGACGCAGTTTTGATCTGTAACTGCTCTGCTCCTGGAATGTGCTTAGTGTGAACAAGGCCTGAGACTCGTGAGTCAGATGGGAGGTTCGGATCTTCAAATGAATCGGATCTCTTGCTGAGTCGCAAGTGAACGGAAGCTCAGGAGCTGTCTGACCCTTCATAAAAGATAGTGATCTGTGCCTTGGCTCAGAGATGTCACAAGTTTGGTTTTATGTCAGACCAGCTATTGTATCACATCAGCCAATGTCATCACTTCTGGTGATGCGCTCCGCATTCTGATGAGGTGATGTCACATTGGTAGTCAGATTTGTCCCTAGTCTTTACAGCGCATGGACAGGAATAACCATACGATTTTAGTACCCCGGGGCGCAGTACCCGTGGTAGTAAATCCAATCGTCATTGCGCTGTAAAGGCTAGGGACAAACCTGGCCAATGTGACATCAGTTCATTAGACTGAGAGCATGCGCAATAAAACGCTTTTTACTGTCGCACTTGGTCGTGCGTCACCAGAAGTGACGACTTTGGCTGATGTGATACAATGGCTGGTCTGACATAAAACCAAATGTGTGACATCTCTGAGCCAAGACACTGATCCCCAGGAGCTACCCCCCTTCTTTGAATCAGTATTCTGATACGGATCCTTTTTATGAAGAGTCAGACAGCTCCTGAGCTTCAGTTCACTTGCTTGTCAGCCGACTCAGCAAGTGAACCGAAGATTCGATTCAAGAATCGGTTCTTTTGAATGAACTGATCCAAATGAACCAATTCATTTGAAAGATTCGGACTTCCCATCTCTACTGAGCGAGCGGTGCAGGGAGGAGAGTTCAGCCTTTTGTGACAGGACGGGCTGTCTCCGCCCCCACACCGTTCTGCCGGACTGTGATAGGAGGCTGAGCGGTGTTGGAGGACAGACGTCGGCCGCTCACAGCGCTCTCCTCTCGCAGCACCCGGCCGGCTGTCACACTTTCTCTCCTCCCCGGTGGGCGCTGCTCTGTGTCCCAGCGGGGAGGAAAGAAACAAGGGATGTGCCGCTGTATCGGCAGGAAAATGGCTCTTTCGGCATTTAGCCAAAGTGCCATTTTCGGCCGATATATTGCTGTCACTAAGTGCTGTCTCTGCTCTAAGATTAACACCATTTTTAGAAACATTTGCATGACGGTGAGAAAGGAGTACAACAGCAGTACAGATGTGAATGGAGAATTCCTTTATTTATTACAATTCTATGGCCATTGGCTGATATTTTAAAATTGTAAAACAATGGATGATTTAGATGTGGCCCCAATTTCCGCTTCTTGAAACTTGTTTTTTTTCACCTTCAGTAAAAGTGTATAAAATTCTGGATGAGTTGGTATTTGATGGTCAAGAGTTATTTTGGGTTCAAAGCTCCTAGAAGCTCCCTAGAGATAAAATAGTAGCCTTTAGTCTTAAAGGAGAATTATGAGGCGAGTGATTTTCAATCAGCCTCATAATCTGAGCCAACCTGTGACAATGAAACTGTCACAGGTCGGCTCAGTAGATCAGGAAGTGAGCGAACACATACAGTCGCTCGCTCACTTCTCGATCTATCCGTGCCTGTCACTCGCGTCTCCCTGCAGGGATTCAAGAAGAAAGAAAAGGCTAGTTGCACTCCTTACCAGTATGACCCAGTGATCGGGAGGGGTGCTCGGAATGACTGCGGATGGCACCGCCAAATACAGATAATTGCAGAAACGTCACCAGCACAGGTGACGTTTCTCCAATTCCCTGCAGGGATTCCCCCCCTCCCCTGTCCGATCCTCCAGCGCTGACTGGTGGAATGGACGTGGGAGGCGGCGGGTACAGCTGGCTCTGCCTCTAGATAGGCAGAGCCAGCTGTCAATCCCGCAGCTGGGTGGATCCAGACAGAATTGTAGTGATCCGTTCTGGTTGCGGCATCTCAGTATACCGCGAGCTGTAGCTCTCGGTATACTGAGCTTTGGGTGACGGGCGGACGCTAGTTTGTGTCCTCCCGTTACCCTTAGGAGAACAATGGGGAAAAGCCCTGACCCCATAGCTCTCCTTTAAGGACTGGTGTCACCGTCAAATATCATTACAAACAATAAATATGCAGCCGGCTCTGGCTTCAGTAGGTAGATGGGTTCCCTTGGAATTATATTAAAAAGAAGCCAGTACTGAGAGAACTTTGAGGCTCCCATTACTGGCCTCTCTATCGGAAAATACTAGTTGCCAGGCTTTCATGCCAACACTAGGACTTCAATACCTTGAGGCACTGACTTTGCTGATCTGCTTGTTCTGGATCAGTTGCAGAGAAGACATAGAAACAGGCTGACAACCGGGCAGATGTCAGCAACTTCCCTCAGCAGAGATATACACAATTGTACATTAGAAGTGATGTTTTCTCGAGCTTTCTATGCTTTCCATTTCAGAAGACAAGGACGTCTACAGAAACCCAGGACAATGAGGCCTGCAATGCAGTACCAACAATGAAACAAACATTTAATGGGAAGATTTTTATTTTACAAAAGCAGAGTTAAAAGTATAGAGGCTGAACACTTCTGATTTCCTAATATTTTACAGTAAATGAATGATGATGAATAGCGTGATGTAAGTTTTATATATGCTGAAAGGTTAAAAAATTCACAGAAATGCGCACATGAACTAGAATATGGAAGTGAGAGCATATAAAAAAAACAGTCCAAATCAAATAAGCTCTTCCTATTTTTCTTTATTCAGAACTCCATAACTTTGTGTAAAATCTGTGCCATGTGTGACTAATATAAATGCTGCATGAAACCAACCCTGGCTGTAAAATCCGTATCCTGCCTACTACAATCCAGGATAAGCTGTACCCGTTCTTAAATCAGAAAGTCTATTCAGTTCTATCTTGCATTCAGCTCCTCTGCCACTGCTTCACATAGTGGGTAGATGTAGGCATTACTCAACTACCTAAGGCCTGGTTCACACCTGAACGTTTTGTAGCGCGTTCAACGCACGCTCTACAAAGCGCTCAAACATCTAAATCCCATTGTATTCAATGGGTCTGGTTCACACCTTGCAGTATTTCCGCCCGTCCGAACGCGATACAAAACGGCCTACGCCTAAAGAAGTACATGTACTTCTTTGGGGCGTTTTGGTCTCGCGTTTCCATTGGGATACAGCCAAGTAGCCCACAGAAACGTGCGTTTGTCGCGCAGTTTTTTTAACCGCGGTAAACACGTGCAACGCGAACACGCATATTCAATACGCCTAGGTGTGAACCCAGCCTAACAGATAGCAAGGATGTGGGGGTGGGGGTGTAGTAACACAGGTCTTCTCTCTCCCCCAGTCAGTGACTGGATATAAAAAGGAGACGCAGCACACTAATGAACTCCTATCAGCAGTTTTATTGATAGCACATGAGCCCCACAGCTCAACTGTCTTGTGCTGCTTCTCCCTTCCCCAATCCCTGAGTGCTGTCATGGTGGGGATTGCAAGAGGCTGATGCCAAATTCAGGTATACGGTTTGCATTTTAAAATACAAGGGTCACACTGACATTTTTGAGATATACAAAATCTAGTTAGTGTACGAATTATTGACTGCACATGCGTTAAAATTCAACTACAAATATGCACATCAGTTTCACTCCGCCAGGACTATTACAGCAGCGGCAAGATACATTTGAAAGTGACGAGCCATGGAGTTGCAACGAGAACACGCTATGATTTTCTACAATTTTAAAGTTGGCTTAGACGAAGAACAGTGTATGCAGCGGTTACACTCGGCACTTGGGGATGAAGCACCATCACGGGTAACTATCTTCAGATGGTTTTAGAGAATTTAGAAGGGGCTGTTGTTCGCTACACGACGACAAAGGCCCGCTACGGCAGTCACTCCAGAAAAGCCTGTGTCCACAAAATGATAACTGAGGACAACCGGTGCACCTACCATAGGATAGGAACTACCCTTGGGATTGGATCGGCCTCGTATAGATTTAAAGATGCATTCATGAATTGTTAATGAGAGCTGCATTACACTGCAACTTCTGTATCTGTCTGAAGTTCAGCTTTAACACTCAGAATAAACTTACCATCTACAAACCATGAAAGGGAGAAGTCTAGTATAGACAACAATCACACTGAATACAAATATACATCTGATTATGTCAATGTTGGTATTTCTTTGTTTTAAACATGCACACCAAAAGCCCATCTACTCTTTTTACTTCGATCTATAACAATTTTGAGGTGCCCCCTTTGGGTTTGTCCACTTTTGCACAACAAATATACAAAGCAACCTCTAAGTGCTGGCAGAACTTTGGGGTTGTAATTGGCCAAAAATGTAAGTGGATTAGTACATTTCTACTAAACATTACACCTAAGAAAATGTAGATTTGTGTGTTCCAATGGCCAGCTTTTTTAGACATTTGTGTTGGTTAAATTCCTTATTTCTGATTTATCTTGTAGTTTTACACATCATTACTCACAACACTGGTTTTTTTTAAACAAACCCCAAAGAAGCAGTCTTCACAGGGAGACAGTTGACAGTGTGGTACGACACAGGTAATAGAGGACTGCAGAAACCAGACCTGGAAAGAAGTGTGAGTATTCCATGGGGTTAAATGTCTCAAATGTCTTATAAGTGAGAGTTTTTAAGCTGAGTTAATGATGTCTGTTCTCGACCTTGAACAAACGAATGTTTATTCTTAAATAAAAAAGAATAAATAAAAATCTGACTATTCATTAGATTCTCTGGGTGTTCTGCACACAAAACAAAAAGGGAGGCAGTGAGTAGACACCATAAGAAGTCAATTCCAAAACTGAGTGCAAATGAGAATAATCCGGTATGCTTTTATGTCTACAAGCCGCATGGACTAACAGGAGATCATACAGAGCTTACTGCATGCTTCCAGTTTGCATGGGCCAGGGACCAGAAGCCACATCGACCCCTGAATTAGTTCCTGCACCTTGTGGAGCAAGTGCTTGGGCCTGCTGACTCTGCCACAGTTGATGAAGTTCTTTAAACTGTTCCACCATTTTGTCCTTTAGATCTGGATGTGATATCTGGAGTTTTATACTATCTGCAGACCAGGACAGCTCCCCTGAGAAGATTTCAGAAAGCAGGCGAGCAGCCACAGGAATAACCTAGAATGACAACATTAAAATTAGCAACAAAACTGCAGATAATGGATATACTAGCTTTGTTTCCCTATTGTAGGTCTGCTTGTACACAACATAAAAGCCTATGTACATGGGCTCTTTGCATAAGTTTTGCTTTGTTTTTATTGCCCCATAAAAGACAATAAAAACAGTAGATTTTATTGCAAATGCCCAGATAAACAGGCCCTTGAAGTGTATGGAAACCTTTTCTTTTCAGGTCCCTGTTGGTCTGTTAAATATGCAAATGAAAGCATTTTCTTTTATCTGTTTGAATGTTAAAAAAAAGATGTGTGTTGATCATGCCTGAAATCTTGTCTGCAATCTTGTCTGCTGATACAATCCTTTGCGTTCTGCCTGTGCTGAGTGTTATCAGTTACAATGCTCTCAGCCATTTTTGAGGACTACAGAACTCTGCCCCTCTATGTTATGGAGAATAGGGAAGGGTAGGGTTATGTAATCCTATCTTGTTTCTGTTGTCTTGAAATGGAAGAGTGGACTGGAAGTGTGTTACTGGCAGAATCACCAAGTAAAAATAAAGTTGCAAATAGAAAACTAATGAAGCCACCACAGTTAAAGTGGACCTTTACCCATACCTTTAAAACAACAACAAACACACCTTTAGAAATGTCTAGTAATGACAATCTACAAACAGATACTTCTAGATAATTGCCGGCTTTGTATTCTTTGCATCCCTTATTTCTCTTTTCTTCCCCAGTCTTCTGACAGTGGCCATGTTAACTAAGGGCAGATTACTAGCTCACCATTTACTTCCTGAAACTCTGATACATGTGACTAGGACATGTGACCATGCACATCATCTTAGGGGAGGAAAATGCCTTTCCCTGAGATCTCATGAGAGTACAGATGAGATTTCCCAGCAATGCTCTGCTGATATAACCTTCCCAAAATGAAACACTTCTGGCACTTACATAATTTGTGCCAGAACTGGACCAGCAAGTAGATGAACTCTATTTGTAAGTAAATAAAAAACAAGTTTGTTTAACTAATGAATGTAAGATGATTTCATATCAGCATGCAGAGCTGCACGCTGATGTGATTTTTAGTAAAAGGGGGTAAAGGTCTACTTTAGGGACTGGTAAGCTGCAATATATATAATACATTTTTGTTTTTAAATATACTTTAAAGAAGTGAAATTAGTGTCTTTCTCTGGCAAAAACAGTGTGTATGCTATCCCCTTCCTGCCTAGAATAAGTATATTAACTTTTCTCAGCACAATGTCCTCCAGCTGACATTTGCGAGGCTGCTGGCTGTCAAACCTGAGTACTACGGACAGATTTGGTCTCCACTAACAATAGTAAGCCAATCAGGAGCCAGTTGCATGTGATCACTGTCAGCTATGACATGTTGATGCTGCTAAATTTTTATTTATCCTGGGCATCTAGGCTTCAATTACCCCTGGTACAAAAGGGTTAATACTAGAGGTGCACTAAAATGGAATTTTCTGAATGAAACCGGGAAAAAAAAATTGTTACGACGAAACCTTTTTACATTTTACATTTTTTATTTAATGTTTTTTAAACTTTTTAGAATTATTTTTTTTAAATATTTTATTTTTATTTATTTATGATTATTTTTTTCTATTAAATATTTTTATTTTTTAACTTTACTGTGGGGGGCTCTGGGGAAATATCAGGGGTCTAAACAGACCCCTGATATTTCCCTTTTAAAATAGAAAAAAAAGAGATGGAGTCCTCAATTTTATTTTCTGCAGCCCCTGTTATGAATTAATAGGAATCCTCTATACTGAGTGTTCCTGATCATTTATAACCTGTGGAGATAGTATGTTTGTCATGTCCACAATCATGAATGAACAGGAAGTGATGTAGAGCACTTCCAGTTAATTAATATTTGGGGACACAGTAAACATACTGGGGGGAATGTATCAAAGCTGGAGCAGAGAGATTCTGGAGCAGTTGCCCATGGCAACCAATCAGCCTCTCTCTTCAGTTTGCTCAGGTAAGATTTGAAAATGAGACAGAGAAGCTGATTGGCTGCAGTGCAAATGTGCTCTAGATTTTGTCTGCTTCAGTTTTGATAAATTTCCCCCACTATGTCCTGAACTTTTTACAAGCAGTCAGCACTCAGCTGATCGCCGACTACTTGTAACTGCTCTCCATCCTGACTCACTATCACAGGAGGCTGAGCCGGCGGTGCGGGTGGAGAGCTCTGTCTCCTTTGACAGCTGACTCCTCCCCCGCACCGCCAGCTTGGCCTCCTGTGACAGCTCAGAGCTGTCTCCTCCCCCCACACCACTCTCCATCCTGATCGGTCAGAGGAGCCTGAGGGGGGCTGTGACAGCCTCCTGTGACATCGAGACTCACAGTGCTCTCCTCCCTGCATTCAGACAGTTTCCCTCCTCCCCTCTGAACGGTGCTCTGTGTCAGAGGGGACATAGAGCAGCGCCCAGTGAGGAGGAGGAGAAAAATCATGGATGCACCGCAATTTCAGCCGAAAGATAGTACTTTTTGCCCAAAGTGCCATTTTTGCCCGATATGTTTAGACGGCCAAAATTTCGGTGCATCCCTAGTTAATACGTATCTTCCAACATTTTAATTACCTGTACGGTGATGAGTTTTTTCTCCTTTGGTTTTTGGTCTGGCCATTCTTCACCAAAACAGAAGAATATCTCATATCCAGGCAATGCATTTGTTTGACCTTTCTGGCAAGCAATGAGCTCTGAAAATAAAAGAAATACTAAACTGATAACCCCGTTCCACGTTTTAACCACAACCAATGTAAAATAAAAATAATGATGGAACTGGCAGAACATCCACACTTCCTTAAAGTGAAACTTTACCCCTTGAAGGGTGGGTGGGTAAAACTGAGCAGGGAATTCTATTTGTGCATTCCAATACACTATAGGGTTCCAACTAATTTACTGCAGTTCCCAAAGATCATCTCACAAGGTTACATATTTCATTTACGTAATCAGATATCATAAACCATACCAATCCTAGGCTGGCCCACAGTTTTTTTCTCTCGCCAGTATCTAATCCCTTTGTAGGTGGCAGTATAACCCAAAGGTTTAAGACTTCCTGTCTCTGAATGGACTGCAAGAAAAGGATTTTACAGAGAGTACACAAATCCTATTGTTTTGGGTGCACTACTTCTTTAAGCTCTACTTTGTAAGTTATAGCCATCCATTTATTTTCAAAGGAAATATTTTTGTTTCATAGAAAATTAGACCAAAAGCAGCATTATACCTAAAATTTTATAGCAGACTGTGAACTACCACTATCAAAAGCCTGGACGTTACAGAGGCATCCAAAGAGCCAGTTCACTAAACACAACATTCATTTTTATCCTTAGCTTGAAGATAAAAATGCACTAACATTCCAAGGTGTTCAACTGAAAAACTCTGACTTGCTTCTGCATGCCTAATTTGCTTACTCAAAGGCCAGGCAATTACTAATTATTATTTTTTTAAATTAAAAAGGCAGTGATTCACCCTTTTGTTTGATTATTAGTCGAGGTCCTGGCCTAGGTAGTAATACTGCTAACAAACCACATCAATCAAATGCATTTTAGGTGCCTGGCAACAAAATAGATACTGCTTATGCAAAACCTCAATGAATCAGCTGCCAACAGCAAAAAGCCTATTTTAAACAAAGATGAATCAGAACCAAGCCAACTTTTTTAGTTATATAGTCACAGACAAAAGTGTCAGTAACCCTCTTCTTTTTCCCAAAGAATCACAAAAGTGTCAAAAAAGCTGAAAGTTACACAAATAAATGACATCTACTGTTCTTTATTCCATAGTCCACAAAGCAGACACTTAGTTTTTGTTTAATGATGCAACATATTCTTGTAAATAACAAAAAAAAATGAAAATGGCATGGACATACTGCAGCTGTTGGTAGCAGACTTTTCACTCCAATTAGCATTGCATGTGTCTACTATCTCATAATCAGGTATTTGCCCTATATTAATGGAGGAAAGTATGTGCTCAGGCATTGTGTGTCATTGTGTGTCATTGTGTGCAGTACAGTGAACATGAACAAATGAAAGGAAAGCACAGACTTGCCTGAGGCAGAAAGGAAGATGGTAATAGACAAGCATGGTAAAGCTACAAAGCCATCTCCAAAGAGGTTCCATTTCCAGTGACTGCAGTTGGTATTATTGTCAAGATGTTTAAAGGATAGTGGCCAATTTCCCTGGATGTGGGGAGAAAAATGGGCCCCAGATTGAACAGAAGGATAATCCAAATGGTGGAGAAACCAAGGAAAACTTCAAAACATATTCTGGCTGACCTCCAAAAGCAAAATAATGACCTAAACCAGGGGTAGGCAACCTTGGCACTCCAGCTGTGGTGAAACTACATAAACCATCATGCCTCTGGGAGTCATGCCTGTGGCTGTCAGAGCCTTGCAATGCATCATGGGACTTGTAGTTCCACATCAGCTGGAGTGGAGAGGTTGCCTACCCCTGTCCTAAACCATACATGTCAGAAGACCCAAGAATGGTTCAAAAACAAATATCAGGCTGTTATGAAGTGGTGTTCTATGAAATATGATCTGAATCCAATAGAGCATTTGGAGAGCTGAAAGTCACAGTTTGGGAAAGGACCCCATTAAACCTAAGACAACTGGAGCAGTTTGCTCAAGTAGAGTGGGACATATTGACAGCTGAGTAGTGTAGAAGTCTTATTCAAAGCTACAAGAGGTTATAGACTGAAAACGGTGTGATACGAAATAGGGAGACAATAATTATGTTCATGCCATTATCATTTATTTTATGATTTACAAGAATATGTTAAGTCATAAAACAAAAGCAGTAAGTCTGATTTACTAACGGAGTAGAGAATTTTCGCTTAATAAATTGTGCAACCATTTGCTTCAATTGTCCAGTCATGTAAAAATGAATTTCCTATTCACTCTAAATACCAAAGCTGTGCCAATGAAATAAGTAAGGCTGGGCACACACCTTACAACCATCGCAAGACTTTTGTCTTGCGATGGTTGTAAGGTAATTAAAAAAACGTACGATTTGCCTATCTTGGACAGGCAGATCGTACTTGCGATGATCGCAAGCCCGCCTCGCTGAGGGGCGGCTTCTGATGTCCGCAATGCCAAACGGGCCGTCCGGCTTTTATCTTACGAACATGCTACACACCTGCCGACAATCGTACGATTCTTGGCGGGTTTTTTCGAACATGTTCCTAAGATAAAAGTCGTGCGACCTTACAGTAGTAGAGGTCACATGGCTTCCACACACCTTACGACAATCGTACGATCGCAGGATTTCCCGTGATTATCGTACGATTATCGCAAGGTGTGTGGGCACCTTTAGCAGGAATTTGCTTTTTACATGATTGGATAATTATAGTGCATATACACTCAATGTATTGTGTAAAAACTCAACTACTTAAGAAAATCATTTTTAGTGTTTTCTATATGGACTGTGGAATAAAGAATGGTGGGCGCCATTTACTTGTGTCAGTTTAAAGTTCTTTCACGGCAATCTGGGATTATTTAGGAAAAAGTGGAGGGGTACTAATACTTTTGGCCATGATTGTATTTGTATTGTCTCACACAAAGCCCAACACACAAAGAATTGTATGTGGAATCACCAATGTGATTTCAATGTACGTTTTTACATTTCCAGCTAAAGTCTGTGAAGGTTCTCATTTATCCAGGTCATGGTATATGTGTAAAAAAATAAGTCAAGGCAACTGGACTTGCTGTATTTTTCTTGAAGACTTTTCACTGGACATCCGACCAGCTTTCTCAATTCAGAATGACTTGTACAAAAATTATCTGGGAATAAATATGGTGAATGTTGCTCCAATCCACATAATCTGTTAATTGCAACCAGGTGTTGATTGTATTTGCATCATTGGAGCTAGGAGGTGTTATTAACCTGCCCAGAGAGAGGTGTTAAAACAGCATGAGAAAGCTGGTTGGATGACCTGTGAAACATCTAAAAGAAAAATACAGCAAGTCCAGTTGCCTTGACTTATTTTTTGTACAGATATTTCCAGCTAAAGCTCCAAGACTCACCATTCAAGAAGGTCTCAAGGCTGAATAGTTTGATTCTCTTCTCTCGTTCTATAGGGTTGGGTCCACCTACATTGGGGGCACATGGCCCGGACCAGAACACCTTGCACTGACACAAGCGAATTGCATATATATCCTGGCCTTGTAGGGTAAGGATCAGCCCACGGTCCATCACATCCAGAAGATGGTTAGTGTAGAACTTCTGTTTTTCATTGCTAATCTCATTGGTTCCAGGAAATCGAACTTGTTCCAGTGTAGTTGGGCCAAATAGCTCTATTTGCTCTGGAGTTGGCTCAATGCTACTGTAGAAAAGGCGGCAACCATGGGGGTTACTAACAGTCATCATTCCGACTTGCTTCCCTCTATACAGAAACTTTATTTCCAGGTCAGTCACTGCAATAGTAAAAATGACAGTAAGAAAATAAAAAAAATACGAATACAAACCATATCTGTGTACAACTGTAAGCTGTTTGTAAGGCTGTTTCTTTTTATTTTTTTATTTTAGAAGGCCAGATTTGACCTGAATGAAGGACGATTATGTCTTCGAGCGACAACCTGAGACTAGCAGAATTACTGCAGGAACAAATGTCATACAACAGGTCAGTCTTGCTGGAATGTTCAGACATACTGCATTCCCGTATACATTACAGCGCATTTACTAAGCAAATGGGAAATCTTTCTCTAATCAGATTGTTTACAGTAGTAGAAAATAAATATAAATGTTATGATAAGGTGAAATTTACCAGTGTCTTAGGGCTTGTTCACACCAAAGCGTGTGCGTTCCAGAGCGGTAGCTGCTGGATCGCACCGCAATCGCTAAGAAACTCCCCCCTGCGTTCTGGGGCAGCAGGAGGCGTGGTGGTGCATTGAATTGAATGGCACCGCTACCACGCCCCCCCGCCCGCAGTGCGATCGGACGGGTGGCAAAACTTTGCCAGTGTTCCGTTCCACTAATAAAGCAAGCCCTATTTTTTGCGTTTGCAGTGGAACGGAATGCTGGCAAAGTTTTGCCACGAGTCCAATCGCACTGCGGGCGGCGGGGGCGTGAAAGCGGTGCCATTAAATTCAATGCACCGCCACGCCCCCTCCCGCCCCAGAAAGCGGGGGTGGGAAGTTTCTTAGCGATCGTGGTGCGATCCAGGAGCTACCACTCTGGAACGCACACGCTTTCGGTGTGAACAAGGCCTTAAACACCAAGCATTTGTAATTTGTCAACAACTAAAACAATAAATCTCTGAGTAAAATTATATATTCAGCTGATTGCTGAATATAACAGACTTGACAATGGTTGCTTAAAGTGTTTCTAAACAAAGGAAAACATTTTAATATATTGCAGATGACCCGTCCTGGTAGCTGTTTTAGTTGTTTTATTCAGGCTTTTTTTCTTTTACTGTCACTTGATGATCCTGCCAGTAACATCCTTCCTTAAAAGTAATTTCTGCTACTTTATCTAGCTTATGTACAAATATTTTAAAAAGTTGATTTACAGTTACTGATAGCACTGAGAGGCATCTGCATGACACAATGGCTCGGATTCACCGAAGCTTAAAGCAGTACTTTAGGCATGCTAAAGTAAATATGATAATTGATGAATTAACAGTAATGTCTTCTAGGGCATACTCACACTAGGTGATCTGTTTTAAGAGGTGGGCTCAGGCATTGTTCAGTTGGATTTAGGCACAGTACACACCTGTGTGATTGCTAACTGTGCCCGAGCACAGACCTCTCATAGATCACTGAGTTCTCAGTGTGCGTGGAAGCAGGAATCACTGTGGTCTATATGGCAAAAGTGATGACTGAAGTATGCTCGGGCCCGGCACAGTGTAAACTCAGGCCAGATGAGAAATGGGGACAATCATGCTCAGACATGGTATAAGGTAACCATGCCTAGTGTGAGTATGCCCTTAGTCTGCTTTAAGTACTATTGCAGCTTGATAAATAAGGGCCAGTAAATACTGACTTCTGCTGTACTTACGTGGCAGCATCTGTGGACTAATAAGTAAGCCTGGAATCCCCTGGTCAATGGGTGTAGGGATCACTCCTGGTATAGGAAGCTCTGCATTTTGTGTGGTCTCCAGACCTGTTGGAGGAACCAGCTCTGGATGGGGCATTACTACCGGTTGAGTTACCAGGGCTTGTGGTGACAACTCCACACCAGTGTATGTTCTAGGAGCTGCTGAGGTCAAAGCAGGATCTGTTGGTGCAAGGTTGTGCTGTATAAGATTTGCACAGGAACTAAAACCAGGTTCAGACTTGGGCCACATATACGCAGGAAGTGGATCTGAAAATAACAGTGTACAAAACATATATTGAAATATCAAAACATGAATATCTAACCGGAGCACAGTAATAATATATCAGGATGGTAATGCTATTTTACTTGTGACTCAGCCCTTACAAATACAAATGTCCTACAAAAGTATGATAAATGAGGAAATATATACTGTATATACAGTATGGTGAGACATTAGCAGTTAGGAAAAGTATATACACTCACCTTGAATGTCAAGCATTGGAAAAATGTGGTCGATCTGCACAGAAAATATACAGATATTAATAGCATTCATAGTAGCCGCCATGTCATATGTATCAAAATCGGAATATTTTGTTATTAATATCAGCAGGGTCTAAATTTAAATGTGCCAGAAACTACATATACACCCAATAAGAAATCAATGCATTGCTCAGTAGCTATTGTCCACCGTCACTTTCTGAAAGGTCTCTGTCTTCTTTGTTATGTACTTGGGTTATTGATCACGGCATTGTTTGCTGCTGTTATCTGGACTCAACACGTGAGTGGAATGGCCGTCTGATTTACACAATAAATGGTATCACACGAGGAGAAGGTGCGGTTTCTTTATTCTTTTTTCATGTACTTGAGGATTACCCTATTCATGTCTGAACAGCAGCCCTTCCTGGTGTAAGTGCATGCTAATAACGATAGCCTTTGGGATTTCTGGTGGCTTCTGGTCAGCACTGAGGTTGCGGTTTCAGGCTATATCCAGCACGAGCTATGTTAGAAGTACTTTGCATTGGTGAAACATGTCCCAGACTACTGCTAGAACATGTTTCTCTGTGGCTACTCATAGTATCCCTTGTTTAGGTGGTGGTCCTGTTAAGGTCGTCTGGTATTCAGGGTTCTCGCCAAACAGGGTGAAGAGTTCCGGGTCGGACTTGTAAGGGAAGCTGATAGGCAGGCTTCTTGGAGTGTCTAAATATACATGGGTCCCGGAATCTGGAGGCTCAGAGAGATTTTGGGTGGGACAGAGCCTCCATCCCCGACTACAGCCAGTTCTGGTAACGAAAGGAGTAACCCACCAGCCAGAGGGTGTGTTAAAACAGAACAGGAAGCCAGTCAGTCGGTGTCTGTGGGGAGTGTTTGGAGCAGGACATGGCTATGCATGTTAAGCTGTGGAATAGTCTACCGAGACACTGCTGGGTACTCGTGTCCATACCCTAACCCGGAGGCTGGGACTCTAACCCTGAGGCTGGGACTCTAACCCTGAGGTGTGACTTAGCATACAGGCGCTGAGCCAAATTTGGTATGTGCTGAATATAAGAATATAAGCCATTTTTATATATATATATATATATGAGCTGTATTTCGGTCTGGTCTATCCTGAGATTTGCACAGCTCTGCCCTACAGTACAACGCTGTCTACCATAAGATCTTTTTCTTTCACTTACAGGTCTCCTCCCCACTCTTACCTGTGACTGGAAAGTGATAGGTGATGCAGCTCAGTGGTTGGCTCATCTTTCCATCACTATGCTGTCTGTTACTATCAGCACACCTGAATGGCTGCTTATGCTGCTTCTACCTCTCCTTTTCTAAGCTCTGCTGTGAAGGGATTGCAAGAAGCTTATACAAACTCGAAATCAGGTAAGTACAATTTTTACATTAAAAAAACCCCATGAAATCATGTATTGAGGATTACAGAGCAGTATTAATTTGTGTCTTTTATATCTGCCGAGAATTCAGCCTTAATACCATCTCCAAGCAAAATGCAAATTCTTCCATAGACATGAGAAGGTTAACAACTGATCCAGATGATTTCAGGCAGACCAGACATTGACCATATGTGGACCAATATACACCCTAGCTAATTGTACATGATACCGAATATGCAATCTGTTGTGTTGAATTTTTTTTTTTGTGTGTGAACTCTACTGTAAGTCAAGCACCAGTGATGCCTGGTTGCTTTCCACACCATTGTTCAACCTTTGGACTAAGGCAGCATGTTTAACATCAAATGTTAATCACAACTTTGAAAATGTTACTGGCTGTGTATAAATAAACTGCAAACTAGTCTACACTTAAGCATTGACAAAATAAAGCACTCTTACTTCTTTCTCATCATCGCTTATAGCTTCATCAGGCAAAGCTTCCACAGGTACAGCATCTGAAATACAAGTGCAGAGGAACAGAAAGGAATAAGACTGCTGACATGATACAGGCCTTGGTATCTTCCTTATTCAAATCACATTATAAACCAGCAGTTGCACAGTAAATATGAGCTCATGTGAAGAAAAATCACATATATACTTTGGGCAGGCAGAACTCAGTATTCAAATATAATCTGGAGTATGATATGGTTATCTTATTCTACACATAAGAATATAAGGTGGTGCAGCAGTAAAACAAGAACAACAGAAGAAAAGCTATGCGTACATACTGCAATGTGATGTAACAAAGCAAACGGTGAGATGAAAAACAACACATTCAAAATACAAATTCAAAGAATTGGAATTAGCAGTACATAAAAATCATACAGACAAAAATACAGAGCAAGTATATAATACACTTCAAAAAGGGAATTTAAACAATGCACACTTTGATGGGAATACACATACACACTGAACAAACTGAATACTGGAAAGTAAAAAGAGTAAAGTGCTATCAATGTCTTCTCAAGATGCTCAAATAGACAGGAGATTATCATCACCCAATCTAGATGATGATGGTTACAATCTATGGGCACTTTGCACTCTACACAGCTGTGGGGAAAAGGTGATGGGGGTTAGAGGGGAAGAATTATTTGCCAGGGTTAGATTTTCTCAGCTGATCCGAAGAAACAGCCAGTGTGTTTGCCAATTATTCATCTGAAACAAGTAGCGGTGAGGCATTGCATTCAGCCAGAACGTGATAAAGCACAATGGCTTTAAAGCCACGCTCAACAAAACGGGACATCCCACATTCAAGGGAATTCAGGTTTAAAGATTTATACGCATTTATATACACTTGTGCTCATAAGTTTACATACCCTGGCAGAATTTATGATTTACTGGCCATTTTTCAGAGAGTATGAATGATAACACGAAAACCTGTCACTCATGGGTAGTGTTTGGCTGAAGCCATTTATTATCAATCAACTGTGTTTACTCTTTTACAATCATAATGACAACAGAAACTACCCAAATGACCCCGATCAAAAGTTTACATACCCCAGTTCTTAATACGGTGTGTTGCCCACTTTATCATCAATGACAGCTTGAAGTCTTTTGTGGTATGTGTGGATGAGGCTCTTTATCTTCTCAGATGGTGAAGCTGCCCATGCTTCCTGGCAAAAAGCCTCCAGGTTTTATAAATTCTTGGGCTGTCTTGCATGAACTGCACGTTTGAGATCTCCCCAGAGTGGCTCAATGATATTGAGGTCAGGAGACTGAGATGGCCACTCCAGAACCTTCACTTTATTCTGCTGTAGCCAATGACAGGTCGACTTGAACACTGCTGATTGGCATTCTCAATTCCTTGGGTATCTTTTTATATCCCTTTCCTGTTCTATACAGTTCAACTAAGTTTTCCCGCAGGTCCTTTGACAATTCTTTTGCTTTCCCCATGACTCAGAATCCAGACACGTCAGTGCAGCACTGGATGAAGGATGCAAGGGTCTGTCAGGAGGCCAGAAACTCATTGGCCTTTTATACACACACACACACACACACTGATTACATGCAAACAGATCACAGGTGAGGATGGTTCCCTTTAATAGCCATTCACACCACTTTGTGTCAACCTGTGTGCAGGCCAAAATCACCAGGGTATGTAAACTTTTGATCAGGATCATTTGGGTAGTTTCTGTTGTCATGATTGGAAAAGAGTAAACACAGTTGATTGATAATAAATGGCTTCAGCCAAACACTACCCATGAGTAACAGAAAGGTTTTCACTGTAAACTTATGAGCACAACTGTACAGTCCAAACAAGACAGTATGAGAGTTCAAAATGTTTAATAATAGAATGGGTTCATAAACAACAAAAAAGAACAGCCAATGTGTTACGGGAGTGGAAACCCTTCCCCCTTCTTCAGGGCTTAAACATGATGGACAGTACTATGGACTTAAAACTATACCCTACACAGCAAATAATTAATCCCTGATAATTCGTGCTAGTTTTGATTCCATATTACTGCCCATTATGTTTAAGCCCTGAAGAAGGGGGAGGTCTTTAACCCCCCAAAAAGCCTTGGCTAATTTTTGGAATCTCATACTGTCTTGTTTGGCGCTCTCATTGAACCTTATATATGCCAATTATTCAGTTGGAACATTCACCAGTCACATCTTCTGACCACTATCTCATGTCTATTACTGGAGATATCATGTATATCTGAAATGCTGATAGCACCTTACTGCCTTCATTTTCTGTATAAGCTACATTTAGCTGTATTGAATGGTTATTTAATTTTTTATAGTTCACTTCGATATACTTAGTTTTAATATTTTTATAGTGTGATATCCTGTTACATTTATTCACTTATCCTATTGAGGAATGTAGCTTTCCTTTTGATTGTTTGCACATCAGCACTTTTTCAGTCCTTTATGGTACTTTATATTCATTATTGGTAGGTTTTTTTGAAGACTTACACACAGGGTGTCACTCATGTTTTGATCCATATATATTCACATATTTTCATATTTATCTCAAACCTTTAGCGCTGTGACAACACTTTACACTTTCACTTTACACCTCTCATAGCAGCTTTAGGATCATTATTTGACTTTTAGTTTACTTTCCAAAAGCGCAGATTTTTTGTTGCAATACATTTAGCTGTAGCTGGTATGTATACTATCATTAAACTGTAAAGATTTTGATATAAAACTATAATACTAAATCCTTTTTTGGCATGTTTAACTTTGATGAAAATTCCTTTTTGAATATACACTATATTGCCAAAAGTATTGGGACACCCCTCCAAACCATTGGATGCAGGCGTTCCGTTAAATTTCCTTGCTACTAAATATTCCACGGTCAACTGTTAGTGGTATTATAACAAAGTGAAAGCAACTGGAAACAGCAACTCAGCCACAAAGTGGTAGTCCATGTAAAATGGCAGAGCGGGGTCAGCGCATGCTGAAGCGCACAGTGCGCAGAAGTCGCCAACTGTCTGCAGAGTCAATAGCTACAGACACGTCCAACATCAGTACCTGACCTCACAAATGCGCTTCTGGAAGAATGGTCAAAAAGTTCCATGGACACACTCCTAAACCTTGTAGACAGCCTTCCCAGAAGAGTTAAAGCTGTTATAGCTACAAAGGGTGGGCCATTTGTAAATTTAATGGCCTGCACAGAGTCCTGACCTCAACCCAATAGAACACCTTTGGGCTGAATTAGAGCGGAGACTGCGAGCCCGGCCTTCTCGTCCAACATCAGTACCTGGCCTCACAAATGCGCTTCTGGAAGAATGGTCAAACATTCCCATAGACCCACTCCTACACCTTGTGGACAGCCTTCCCAGAAGAGTTAAAGCTGTTATAGCTACAAAGGGTGGGCCAACTCAATAGTGAACCCTATGGACTAAGACTGGGATGCCATTAAAGTTCATGTGCGTGTAAAGGCAGGTGTCCCAATACTTTTGGCAATATAGTGTATATAACTGATTTTGCACTTACCTTCATTCTGCCCAGGAAGGTCACATAGTTGGTAGATCTTGAATGGCTGCATGGGGGTTTCCTTAGTTCCATCATACAACAATTTAAACTCTCGACTTTTGTTCAGAGCACAGCGCAAATTTGCCTTCCACTTTGCAGGGTCGGGTTCATCCACCCCCTGTTGATATTTGCCTGTTTCCTTTGCCCAAGCCTGTAAATATTAGTAAAAAAAACATGTTCATTATTTTTATTTAGCAAGGAAGGTGTCCTGTAGTCTGAGTGTTCAAGTAACAAAGCAGACCTTATGGCACCCAGAGACGTTAGACAGAGTATGTCCAGTAGAAAACAATTTGGCCACCAAAAAATATTTCTTTTTATATTTCATTCGAGTGGAATTGTAGTTCTGCCCCTCGTGTCAGAATGTACAAGCATTCACAGCATACTTACAAAAAGATTAATATCCACAGATGAGGGTAAAAGATGGTTACTTATTGGCCAGTATGCGGTATTTCAAAATTTTACATTTTATGTTTTACTTTAAGTTGTTTGTGGTTATGGGCCAGCATCCAACTTCTGGATGAGTTGGTTTCAATTAATGTAAGTAGTCGAGTCTCCCAGAAGTTTTTGTTACTCTAGTTTTTCAAAGCATACCTGCCCATTATGGTAAACTCACCTGGCTGGTTCCCCCTCCTCCAACACTGACAGATCAGAGCTGACCCTCATTGTCATTTCTCACTCTCACCTCTTTGTCTATTGGGGGGCCACTATTGGGTTACAGTATTTTAACACAAGGCTCTGTTTTCAGCATCCTACAGATGCCATAATCAGATCAGGCTGGGAGTGTACACTACACTGTGCCATTAATCACAGGCAGGTGTACTTTTTTTTAAATTGCTAAGAGACAGGGGAAAAAGGACATGAAAATTCTCCAAAAGCTCCAGCTCCTATAAATTGTATTTTTTCCCAACAAAGTTCTGCAAACTTTAGTTTGTGGATTGAGTAGGGAGGCGTTAGAACCTCTGACAGGTGTTAAAAGACTCATCATCTCTGCACCACTGTCAGCTGGAATGAAAGCAAGTGAAAATCCATAATGTATTTGTCACCAGAAGAGGAAAAAGAGGAGAAATATTCCTGTTCTAGTGATGACCGTCTAAGAGGGGACTTGGCTCACTTTGGAGAATTTTCATTTCACTTCCTGTTGTGTTTTACGGGAGACAAAGTAAAGGGGAAATCTCTCAAATAGGGTACAGATTGTAAAAGCTTTTCAAGCAGTTTAGTTATACTTTAATGCTCATGAATGCATACATGCTGAAAATGAAAAAACACTTGGTAATAAATGTTCAATCCACTAAACAGACTTTGCTGCCAGCAGCATTCTAAACTTAGGTGTTGGGAATGTGCTGTATGTGTCACTTACTGTATACTGTTCTGTTTAATTAAAGCGAGTTTGAGCATTCATACCAGACAAAAGTATCTAAAAATATGAAAGATCGCGTCATGATGCTGTTGTCAATTGGATTAGGTGTCAATTTTATGACCAAGTGTGCACTGCACATAATGATGGCTGACAGTCCTCGGGAAATTACAGAGAGGTCCGGATAAAAAAATCTTGTCCAATCGCTATTGTTTCCTTTGTCCATGTCAGAGGACCATAGTGTTCATTATGAAACTAGCCGGCCCAAAAGACTGCCAAAGGCAGCAAGAATATGCATTGGCTGATACGGGCGGCTCAACACTTTGGGTACCCTAAAACCCAAAAGAACCCTCACTTTACATCAGCTAAATGCATTCCAGATGTCACAAAACAGAAGGTGTGCAAAGTCTTACAGTTTGTCTTCTTATGAAAGTAAGAGAATAATTTATCCCGCTCAGAAATATGCAGCCATCGTGTGGTTCCTAGTTGTAGCTAGAAATACAGTATTTTATAGATATATTACACTTTAGAAAACACGTAGTGAGACAGATTTATAAGCAACATATCAGATTCAGTCATATGATGGTCTGTCACTTGAAGTTCCCTTTGATTGGAAGGCCATTCCTGTAGTACATCCTTGTTATATTGTGCCCACCTTAAATATGGTGTTCTCATCATCTTGCATTGGTGTGTGACGTGTTGCATGACGCCATGGAATGCGGAATAGCTTGTGTTCCCTATCTTCCCAGTGTAGACCTGGATAGTTCCCACTGTCCACCTGCGCTACCAGCCATGGCTTAAGACGGATGCGTCGTGGATGCGAGTTCAAGTTCATCTCCACGTGCTGGATTGTGGTTGGTTATGAAACCTTGACAGCAGCAATGTATAACGACAACACCATCTTATTGTGTCCTAAAAAAACAAACAAAAAAAAACAATCTCAAATATGTAAACGTATGTTTTAGGGCTAGTTGACACCAAGCGCGTTCCAGGAGCAGAGCAGAGCAGTTACAGAACGGATCAATACTGCGTCCAATGTATTCCAATGGTATTTAGTTCACACTGCAGCGTTCAGTTCCTTTGCATGTAAGAAAACTGCAGCAAGCCCTATTTTACCTGGAACGCATGCAAACGCATCAAAATCGCCCTGGAACGCACTGGAAGCCCATTTTAAACTTTAAAAAAGAACGGCCAGGAACGCATCAAAAATGCGGCACAAAACGCGGTATAACACACTGCGTGTGCAGAAACTCATGCAGATCTGGTCTGCATTTGGTGTGAACAAGCCCTTAAGCTTCTATGTAACAGTCATTAAAGCCTGTTATGTAGCGCTAGTTGTTGATGTTTAGCAGTGTTTCTTTATTCACGCATGCTCCACTCCTGTGGCCCCCGTCCAAAGAAAAGGATCACTACTTGGTCTATACATAGAATATGTGCCATTTGTAATGCAGTGTACAGTACACAATCATATACAACATTTTAATGTAACCTATAAGTTCGCTATTTTACCTCATAAAGGATTTGCATTTCTATCTGTCCATTCAGTACTGAGACTTACACAGCTCAGTCCTGTCTGGCAGGACAGGTCTAATTTTTTCCCCCCAGCTGCAAGTAAATAATAGAGCAGGTCTTGTCCCTTTCCAAGGCTATGATTGGGCAGTGAAAGAAGAAGGAGCAGACTGATGAACTCATCTGTCTATAATACTGTGTTCTTCCCTCCTATCAGCATACTCCTTGTTAGCACTGCTTCACAGCTGATTGGCTCCTTGTGCTGCTTCTCCCTGACCCAGTCTGAGCTCTGCTGTACAGGCATTGCTAGAGGCCAAGACCAAATCAGGTACGTGCACTGCTTGCATTAAAAAAAATACACATTTAAAAGGTTAATTCCACTTTCCCAGTCGAATTTGTGAAAATAGAATTACCGCCACCAATCTGCCCCCCCCCCGCCACTGCTCTTACCTTTAAGTGAACGCTTCTTACCCTCTGCGGCTGCCGGTGTGCTATCCATACTCTGTATAGAGTAGCGCAGCATATTTCAAATTGTGCCGCAGATGACGAGCACTCTTTTGTCAGCGTGGTCTCCTGAGCACGCTAACCAATGAGAAGCACATCTTAGCAAAAAGTGCTTCCTTTTACCAATGAGTGCTAGCCATTTGTATGTGGAATTTGAAATACCGAATACAGGGCTGCACTGCTCTGTACAGAGTACGGAGAGTACACCGACAGCGCGGAGGATAAGGAGAGTTTGGTCAAAGGTATGAACAGCGGCGGGGGGAGAGAGGGCAGATTGGTGGTGGTAATTCCATTTTCCTAAATCTAACCTGGGAAAGTGGAATGACCCTTTAATGATGTCTTAATGAACACAGAGGTGCATTAAATTGTGTCTTTTATATATGCGTGGAGTACAGCTTTGACACTTGGGCTTGGAGAACAGGTGAAAGTTGTCTTGTCAGGTTCCATTGCAGTAAGTAAAAAGGGAAGATTGCCTCTTTTCAGGAGTCCAAATGACACACTGTAATAACTAATCACTCACTCAACTAAAGCATGATTCTAGCAATTATGATGTGGGAAATTCCATGCAAAATAGTGGTTTTCATTTCTCTAAGCTGTGAAAACATTTTGATAATTTCACTTTTAACCTAAAATTAATATTTATCTAGTGCTTGGGCCACCATATGGCTCTGAAGATTAAGTGGTTCTTGCAATTGATTATCAACATTAGCAGAATTCACTGCAAATGAATCAACTATTTGCTGTGTAGTACACTTGGCTTTTTGGTGGAGGACCCCTTGTTACATGTCATTTACCTGTGTCCCCTCTTAGGCCCCATTCACACCTGACCGTTTTGTAGCGCGTCCTACGCTCGATGAACGCTCTACAAAACGGTCAAAAAAATAAATAGCATTGTAGTCAATGGTATCGTTCCCACCTGTCCGTATTTCCGCCCGTCCCGAACGCACTACAAAACGGCCCACGCATGAAAAGGTCCCGGAGCGTTTTTTGCTGCGTATTGGTCCGTTTTGTAGGGCGTTTTCCATTTGAATACTGCCAAGTAGCCTTTGGAATCGCGCGACGGTCGCGCGACTTTTTTACCGCGAATCGCGGTAAAAAAAACGCGTGCCGGTCGCGCGACAGGCGCGCATATTACAATACGCATAGGTGTGAATGGGGCCTTATACTAGGGCCATCAGGGGGCTATATTGCCACCAGTTGAGGACTGCTGCTCACTGGAGTGCACATATACCAGAATGACGTATTACTACTAGATAATTATGCGGATACGTCCAGTTCGGTTAATTTCTGGGCATCAGTGTTGTTTGCATTGTAGCTTGTTGGGAACAGTAAACCAATAGAACAGGTTGCAGTACCAATTCTTACAAGGTTATTCACAAAAGGGTGAAGAGTTTGGAGAAGGCAGGAGAAGTGAACAATCTAGGACAACATATCTGATTTGGAAAAGTTCTCAAATTGCGCTCACTTTGCAGCTCCGCTATGTTGTCCTAGATTGTTCACTTCTTCTGCCTTCTCCAAACTCTTCACCCTTTGTGAATAACCCTGTCACTGCTTATCTTCAAATGCACTGTAGGCTGCTAATCTATAACAAGAGCTCATGACGAACACATGCTTCTCCCTCAAAAGATAACAATACTGTGTAGCAGACCTTTAAAAATATGAAATGAAGAACCGAACTGGACTTATCCGCATAATTATCTATTAGTAATACTAGATAATCTTGTTATAGATTAGCAGCCTACTGTGCATTTGAAGATCAACAGTAAGAACTGGTACTGCAACCTCTTCTATTGGTTTACTGTTCCCAACAAGCTGCCATGCAAACAACACTGATGCCCAGAAATGAACAGAACTGGACCTATCTGCATAATTATTTACTAGTAATACTGGACGGTTGCAGTCCCAACTCTTACTATTGATCTTCAAATGCACAGTAGGCTGCTAATCTATAACAAGATTATCTAGTATTACCACTAGATAATTATGCGGATACGTCCAGTTCGGCTCATTTCTGGGCATCAGTGTTGTTTGCATGGCAGCTTGTTGGGAACAGTAAACCTGTAGAAGAGGTTGCAGTAGCAATTCTTACTGTTTATCTTCAAATGCACAGTAGGCTGCTAATCTATAACAAGAGCTCATGAAGAACACATGCTTCTCCCTCAAAAGATAAGAATACTGTGTAGCAGATCTTTAAAAATATACCAGTTTCATTATGATATATATCTTCAATTCCAGATTCATAGAGAAACTGTCTTTTTTCTAGGGGATTCCCATGTGAAAGAACAGTTCCAGTGACATGCAAATTTGATTCAACTCATGACTATTAGCATTTTGTTTGTGTTACAAATCACTAAATTCCTTTGATACTTCCCAGTTACTAAAGTTCACTCAAGACTGGGTCAAGGGGTAGGCAGAAGCGGTGGCCACCACCTCAGGCCCTTCAGCAAGGAGGGGGGTGTGCAAAAAGGGTGGGACCTGCAATCTCTGCTGCTGTAGTAATCCACTGCTCAAGGGGGGGCACTTTGGTCTTTTCAACTTGGGTGCTAATGGACCTTATCCCAGCACTGTCTACACTTCTCATGCAAGCTGGAATATTCCACAGGACTGAGCCATACAATATATGTAATGGACTGTCTACCTACCAATAAAATATTTACTAGTGTAAGTATATAAAGACATACCTTTAGAAGAACTGACTGGCTGCTATACATTGCAGCTTTCTAATTGCTATGCGTTACTAGCTATTGTTCTGAGTTGGATAAAGAAGACATATTTTAGCCAGTGGGCATCCACTCTCATTCTAGCAGTAGTGTGCAGTGGAGAACTGGTGATTCAGTTAGAAAACAAAGCTAAATAAACATTTGAAATACTCCTATTTATCATACATGACAAGTGATTTATAATTCTGTTCAGCCAGTCTTGTAATTCGGACACCTCTGTCAGATAGAAAAGCATTTATTGGATTTATTTGACATCTCGTCTGCCGGAAAATGTGAAGATTTCTAGGTAAATGCAGATGCCTCGATTTCATTTATTACTTGTTAAATACTCTGTTACTCTAGGCTCTGCTTGTAAAACCCAGTGAAGCAAATTGGGGAACAATAGCGCAGCTATTTCCCATAGCAGGAGCGAACAAATAAATATTCAAATGTAATCCTCCTGTCCCATCGCACTCCTGACCGGACAAAAACCCAAATCCAACTGGGTGGGTGCGGTGGTGACAACGGATGCCTCCGTGAAATGTAGATAGAAGAAAGTAGTCACTCGCACTCCATGATATTAAAGTCAATGCTGTTTATTGACTGAGATAACACAGTCCCGTCCTCTCTGTTTGCCTGAGGACGGGACCGCATGGTCTCGAAACGTCGCTAAGGGGACTTTCTTCTACCAAATAAATATTCAGTCTGTCCAATCAGGAGTCAGCAGGATTTTTTTCGCAGCCAGCTCCATTGACAACAAGGGAAAAGTTAGACAGCAGCTGCCATTTTTTGGTATGTGAATAGTTCCAACATAGCATAGTGCTTACAGAGTAATAGAAGAATCATGACAATTCCTCACCCTGAAGGAGTTTACAAGCGAATGCTCCATAATTGTGAAAAGACCGTATAAAGCCTATTCTAATCTTCATGTGGTAGCAGCAGGATCTGCAAACACAAAGGGACTTCCCCACTGTATTTATAACAAGTACATCTGGACTAAACCAACATCCACAATTCAAAAAGGAAGTACATAAAGCTGAACATCCCTGACTTGAAACCACAAGACCAAAATAATTGCCTAGAATTCTAGCTACATCTATAGAAGCCGTTTCACATGGGTGTAAAGTATTCGCTGCAAAGCAGAAATCCTGCCAGAGATAACAAGATAAAAACGAATAGCCCAATTAAAAGAAGAAACCA